CTCATAAACGGGACAACTTTTGGAGATCGAAATATGATCTTTACTTTTACAATGTATACAAAAAGTTTTTTTAGTGTCGCATATGTGACTATCATTTTTAATTTCTGCACATCGTATACAAAATTCTTGTGTGCCCTTGCATTGCTTAGAAATGTGACCAAATTTCAGACACTTGTAGCACTGTATTACCCTGCCTACAAATCTTTCTACTGGCAAATACACAAAATTAACTACGACATAAGTTGGCAAAACATTTCCTTCAAATGTAACTATAATATTTCGTCTGGGGACGTATTCTGTTTTACCGTCTTTATCTACCTTTCTATGCATTCTTTTAATGTCAGTAATTTTAACGGAAGAGTCTATATGTTTTTTTAAATAATCAGTATCATACCTCGTATCTACATCGTGAATTATTCCCTTGATTTCCAAGAGATGGTTAGGGATATAGGCTTTTAAATTTTCATCCTTTAACTTATTATGTGTTACTAGATGATTTGCATCCAAAATTGATTTTAAAATAACTTTAACTCTATTTTTTCCTATAGATTTAATTTCCTTTAGATTTTTGATTTTAAGGTTTTGATGCAAAATTTCCCCCACAATCATTGGATGTAAACGAGAAATGTTCTGATTATTTAAATTCTCGATATATACGCAACAGCTATGAAAATCATAATTATTAGAAGAAATGTTATAAAGTTTTACTTCCCTTGTTTTGTCAGTTTTATCACCGGAACTCGCACCAATTTCCATGTCATGTTCTGGAGAACTTGTCGCAACACTTAAATCGCACATTTGCGTCTTATTGTTATTTTCCTCCCCCATTAGGGGAGGTAAATCACTTATTTTCACAAAAATTCCAAATATTTAACCGATATATTTACACAAAATTTAAATTATAAATATAAATATTGATTTTTAATCACCGCAAAAACTTATCTGCCGCTTAATGTGATTTTAAGGATCGTCTGTTTACTGTGAATGCTCGCAACGGAATGATTGTAGCATATTAATTTCTCTTGAATTTAAAACTTTTGACGAGACTGTATTTTCAGTTAACTCTCTTTAGAAATTATTATTTTTATCGCTTCGAATACGTCAAGTGTATGTACTAAAAAGTCCCTTTTCGTAATAAATTGTATTTGGGGTTAGAGTGTTAGAGTATTCAATTCCAATGCGCACTTGCACGGTTTTCTCTTAATTTAGACCACTTGGGACCGATTTTAAATGTCGAAAAATAGCGGAAATTGACAAAATCTACCCCGAATTCATAAAAAACCTAGGCCCCAAGGTGAAAAGATGACCCCTCGAGTTTTACAATGATATTTTACTCCCACAAAAGTTTCCCACATTTTTAAAAAGACAAGATAAATATAATTGCCCTAGTAAAACCAGGAAAGGAATCGACACAGCCAGAAAGCTATAGGCTAATCGGCTAATGTATGTATGTTACAAGGTTTTTAAAAAAATGATCTACAAGGCTGTTTAATTACGTAAAGAACAATATTTCCTAGAACAAACAGGATTTGTACCAAAAAGAAGCTTCTGCTACAAGGTACTTGCCTCAACATCAAACATAGAAAACGGCTTCAAACAAAACCTTAAAACAGCGATTGTATTTATCAATATGTCATGTGCTGATGCTACAGTCTGGATAGCAGGCCTACTTTTAAAGCTCAGTAAATTGGTACCGTGAAACAGTTTTATCAGACTGGTAAATGAAATGATGAGTGAGCGCATTTTCCAAGTACTTGTAAATGGGAAAACAAGTACAATCAGAAACCTACAAAATGGCCTCTCCTAGGGTAAAAGCCTTCTACATATGTTCTTTAACATCTATATTTTAGACGTTCTATCTACAACACCTAGAACTCGACAAAACAGAAGTAACTTTCTTTCATCTAAATATAAAAGAAGCTAATCAAAAAATTCAAGTCGAATATCAAAGCGTTGTACTCAATCACAACCCAACACCAAAATACCTGGGCGTCATTCTTGATCGAACTCTAACCTTGAAACTGCGCATGCAAAAATTATCGTCCAAAGTCAGAAGAAGAAACTATATGATGCAAAAACTTTAAAACTCATCATGGATAGCAACAGCAAAAGTTCTAAGAACCAGCCATCTCACTTCAATGCTAGACTCCAAGTTGAATGCGGCAAATATCTGGCACTATTAGACTTACACTAACAGCTTGGTTTCCAGCTTTGTCCAACATTGTCCCACCAGAAACAACCCAATGCTACCAATAAATTCCTACATTAAAGAACTAACAAGTTTCCGACAATAAAGATATAAATCCAGAAGACAAGCGGTAAGAATGGCAACTCAAATGACGAACTTCACAGTTTAGCAACATTGGAATATCATAAAGAAGTGAGAAATTCCAAGCAAGTTGAAAATCTTACTATAGTATTGAAGAGATTTAACCTTCCTCGCAGACAATTATGCAACCTAAATAGAATTAGAACTGGCCAAGAAAAATAAAGCAAAACGCTAAATCAATGGAATGCAAGAGATAATCCTCAGTGTGATAAATGGAGGGCTGCCGAACAAACAGCCCACTACCTAGTCTTAATGCCCACACACCTAATTCAGCGGTTCGTTAAAACACATTCACGCCCTAACCCCTGAAGCAGAAGAGTGGCTTCAAGCAACTGCACATTTTTGGGTTTTTATTATAACAATATATATATAATCCCACATGCGCGTTTGGGTTTTTAATTAATTATCAAACTAGGGATATTTTTGTTTTTGTCGATTTACAACAGACTTTTAGCCAATGATAATACTCGGAATAGAGCATTGGCTATCGTGCTGGTCCAATAGCCAGCGGTCCGAAAAGACCGTTGGAGATTGACCTACTTTTTCGTCTATAAAAACGATGCACGATGACCAATACGGCAGACCAGGTCAGGATAGGTCCGCTGGTCCAGCCTTCTTGGCATGTAAGAGATCCTCTGATAGATTTAGTTCTCAGAGACTCTGTTTCATTACCCAGAACCTAACGTTCTCTCCATATCCAGAGCCTAACGCTCTCAACTTTAAACCCAGAGTCTCACACTCTCATTTTTAACTTTAAAGGCAGAGTTCCAGAGCGAACTTCTGTCGGTTTGTGTACAAACCAACAGCGGCCATTTTTGAGGGATTATTTCTGCTTTTCGACTTAGTCGAATTTGCTAATAATTTTCTTAAGAGCGTCGCATTTTGCCGATTTAATCTGTGCTTTCAGACTTGGTCTGAAATCTGATTATTTTCGGTATCTTACAAGTCGCGTAAGAAGATTGTTATCTTACAGGTTATTTTGCTAAGTTCCTTACTTAACAGGACTTAGCCACCGGATGGTACAGTATAAGAGTAGAAAAATAAAAACTCGTAAAAATTGCGTTTTATTTTCTCTTTCAGGTACACTGTTAAAAACTTATAATAAATTTCTTACAGGTACACTGTTAAACTTATAATATTTTTATGTCTTATGAAAAATTTCGACACTTTAAAAATATTTGTTTGTTTTCTTTCAGGAATAAAACTTGCATTATTTTCCCGTTTGGAATATCCTTGATATTTGGAAAATAACTTGTTATTTTATTTCTCATTTACAGGTCTCAGCGACTTAGGCAATTTCCGAAATAAATATTTCGAATTTCCGCTATATCTATTTTTACAGTGTACTTTATTTACATTTTATAGTTGATTTTGCCGAATGGCACTATCCTAGATGATTCCCAGCTGGTTTCAGGTTCCTACCTCAACCCCTTCCTAGCCTTCAATTTTAACAGCTGAGATTTCTCTATATTTACTAATTTCAAATTTACATATAAATTTGTGCATTGTGTTTAAACTAATACTTTCTACATTACAGATTCTTAGTTTTAAACTAATTGTATAATAGTTTCTTTCAGATTCTTAGTCATAGCATTTATCTGTTATCCTATTTATCTGTTATTTACAATAAACGAACCATTTTATTGTACCTTTATTAAGGCAGTTATTCCTAGCTAAAGTGTCCATAACCATCACTATGGCCACTGACCGGGATCCATACTCCCTCAGGTCAACACAAGCTACGGAAAGAGCGTGTCCGAAGCATGGTGTCTCTCCCACAAGGCAAGAGGCTTTTACCCGTGACCGACAGGTCTTATTAAGGTCTTATATAGGTGCATCTTTGTTCTCTTAGAGTCTTGCTTTTCAGCAGATTTATATTCATTCCATAAGTTTTTTGGCTTTTACAATTCTTTCCAATTCTTCGTATTTGCTATGATAACTAGATCATCCGCAGTGACCAAAACCAGGTATGTTTTAAATACAATAATCAAGTGCATTAAATTTTGCGGAGCGTTTGAATTAGCTCTAAGAGATCACGAAGAAAGTTTGACATATACGAATTCAGGAGTATTTCGGGGACTTATCAACTTAATGGAAGAAGTTGACACTATATTGCAAAAACATTTAACCGAAAATAATACAACTTTTTGGAAAGTTCAAAAACTATTCAAAAGGAATTGATGGATTTAATTTTATATGTCGTTCGTGGATTAATAAACAAAGAGGTGGATATGGCACTTTATGTGGCAATCGAGGATGATGAGACTACGGACGCTTCCGTTCAAGATCAAATGGTTTTAGTTTTAAGATATACACTTGGCAACCAAATTTTGGGGTTATTTTTTACCTGATTCGCTTAATGCAGAGTGCATTAGTAAGTATATTTTGTAGTAACTTAATAAAGCAAATAATTGACGAATGTACCCTCCACACTTCGTTGTATGTGGCCGAATATCGCGCATAACGAATAACACATAGCGAAGTGTGGTGCCGCCATTAGAATTTATTACGCATATTCCAAGATTGATGGCTCAACTATTTGAAGGGCATTTTTCAGACTTTAATTTGGTAATAATATTTAACTACAACGCTTAAAAGGAACAAAAGCAAAAAATATGAATATACAAGTACTTAAAAAAAAGTTCAAAAAAAAGACGTGCTAAAAACTTACTGTATCATAGTCACAAAATCTTCTTGCTTCAAGTGTCCAACACCATCAATGTCATACATATCAAACAATAATTTCGCCTTCTGTTCTTCAGTTCCGTCGGCAAAAATTATCATCAAATCAACAAATTCTCTAAATGAAATAAAACCATTTCTGTCTTTGTCGATTAATGTAAACATTCTTTTCACGAATTCATTCGCGGGTGTCATACTTAACGCGTCTGCAAATTCTGTAATGGTCAATTCTGTGTCTATCACTTCTTTCGCTACATGAGCATCAACTTTCAGTATTTCAGTTTTTGAATGACTAATTTTGAACGCTTGTGCAAAAACTACTCGGAAGAACATCTCCAATCTTGCTTGTCGATTATCTTTGGTTACAATTACTTTTAATGCTGAGCTCCAGTTTAAGTTTACCAATTCTTTTTTCACTATCTGACTCTGTACGAAGTGTTTTTCGAATTCCGCCAAAAAGTTGTTACGTAGAAATTCCGATTCAAACGTAACTACCTAAAAAAATACAATACTTGATTGGACAAATTGAACTAATTATATATCATAATTTTATTTTAATAAATTCACACAAAAAAAAATAAAATAGCTACTTTAAAAAGTTATTAAACTCAACTAGGAAGGCATTCTCGCCAAGAGAAACAAAAGGAAACAAATAACCAGGTTAACAGCTTTCAGTGATTGTTATTCAGTATTAAACGAAATGCTTAGTTTCAAATTTGTAATATCTTCACATGTATTGTATGAATTGTTATCATGTGTTTGTGATAAGCAAATTATGGCAACCTGTTCAAGTCCATTTAAGCATTGCCTTTAAGCATTTGCATACATTTTGTGACTGGATCAAAGAATATCGGCAACTGGATTTGAAAATACTTGTCTGATTCAGCAAAGTAGCAGGTAAATACTTTTTTAATATATTAGCATACTGAACTTCCTTTACATTCAAACGATTGTATGTGCTCACGTGTTTGAAAGCACAATTCATCTGGTATTAAATTATGCCTAGATTTATGCCTTGGAGTGGATCCAGTCACTAGTAGGTGGCATAATCTTTTGACATGCTTTTCGCCAACACCATATAAACTTAAGAAAGCTTTCTTACATACTTGCTTAAGTACTCCTTTTAAACAAATATGAAACAAAAAAGTATTGGGTCTCTCAATACGTTTAATGGCATTCTGAGATTTTCTCATTCTCTTAATGGGGGTACTTTGATCATATTTTGTAAGTATGAATCTTGTGAGTTTTTGTCATCAAAGTCATGTAACGACGTAAACAACGCATTCTTGACCATTTCCCAAAAATGTTCATAACACTTCTTGTGACACGTACAGTCGATTCTAGTTTTTCGCGCCATAACTTGTGTTCCCACGTGATTAATATGGGCTTGGCCATTTTAATAATATTTTTCTTTCTTTTCCTTTGTTTATTTTCAATAATGACACTGGTTTCACTATCAGAGCTACTCATTTTTGTATAAACAATACACAATGGAACCTAATCGTACTAAAGATAATCGTCAACTGGTCTAGAATAGAAAACTAGGAAGGTCCGCGACCGTAACCACTAAATCACATGTCCGACGAGCGCCGTTTGTTTCGAAAACGCCACATTTCCGGAGAAGTGGCCTTTTCGAAATAAACAGAGAAATACGCCTGTCAGGATTAATAGTAACGAACAGCGGAGATGTGGAGTTTTCACGTGTAATAAAGCTTAAAGGATATTCTGAACAAAATGGCGAAGTTAACTCGTTTTGTGAAATTAATGGGGATTGGACTTTTTCGAAATAACCGATTCAATTGTCAAGATTTACAAACAGTCCTACGAGTGGGCGAGAGCAGTAACTTCCAACCTTACGAATTATATGAAGAATTACATATCGTCGCCTGAGAATTATACTGTTCTATATCCACTTTTTGGCAGTTTGGAGTTATATACATAGAAATTTTTGTAAAAATTAGCTTGTTCTATATCCATTGAAATGATGATAATATTCAGAACCAATTAAAAGTTTTCAGTAACATTTAGTTCTATATCCCGTATGCCTCAAAATATTTTTAAAATTATTTTGTTCTATATCCTCTTTAACTTTTAGAATAAATACGTTACTAGAATTATAGTGTTCTATATCCATTACGCATAATGTGCTTAATACCGTACTGTACGTGTATGTACATCATGGCATGTTGGTAAATGATCTATTGTTTTTTGTAAAAAGTGAATAGTAAGAAAATGTATTTAAACTAAATAGTAGTGGGTATTCCTGAAACAATTTAAGTAAGTACGTTTAATATTATTGTGTTGATTTAATCATCCTTATTAAACGAATTTGCAATATTACCTAACCTCAAAATTTTCATAGACACGGATATTTTATTGAATAAAATGTAATTAAACCTATTCAAATCAATAAAAAATTTTGATAATTATTATAAAAAGAAATATGTTACACATTATTATGAATTTGTAACTAATAAATTACTAATACGGGTTGTATGTGTTTTGATATGAATAGAGTAGTACAGAGGTGGATTAGCAATGGATTAGCATGAATGTTTCAGAAAGTAATGTGGTCATATTTCAAATTCGTTCCTTTTAATTTTGTAATTTTGATTCGAATTGCATGTGTTTCTTACTACATTGATATTTAAATCAATTTCTTTTTGCAGTTTATAATGAGTGCAAAACTTTCACCGTCGCCAACAAGGCCTTCTTCATGTCCTAGTGACGTTTGGAAGTAATCTTACATTAAATTTTTTGAGAAATAATACCACTAAATAATATCTTATTTTAGCTCTTTGTGGCATATTATCGAAGAGGATGTCGAAAACGACAAAGAAAACATTAGTAAAGAAACATCTCAAGATAAGCACGGACCTAAAGCGACACCAAATGAAGGAAAAGTTGTTGTTTTACAAATGGTTACTTTAAACACTATGGATACACAAAATTTACAATTTAGCACACTGCAAGAAGTAGACGCATTGGCACAAAACTATGAAGAAAAAGAAAATAATCTTCAATTACAAAAGTTACCTGAGAGTCAAATTGAGATGGCAGAGGAAGAAGAGTATCTTAACGAAGAAGTTAATAAACCTGCGGTGATTAGTCGAAAACGAAAAAGAAGACCATCAGATTGGAAACAAAATATAAGAAAACATAAACGACAATCTGGACAAGAATATGTTGATACAATAAAGCGGACCAGGGAAAAGAAATCTGTGAAAATAGAGACATGTCGATCTGAAAATTGTGTACTACAGTGTACTGCTAAAATTACTCCTGACGAAAGAGATACAATTCATAGACAGTTTTGGTCTCTTAACGATGACAAAAAGAATCAGTTCTACTCAAAACATGTGAAGCATATTTTGGCAGTAAGAAAAAGAACAAACAATGAAACCAGCAAAAAACATTTTCATATCAATATTTTTTTTATGTATGTGGAGTTAAAATAAGAGTTTGCCAACATTACTTTTTTAATACATTAAATATTAGTAAACAAAGGATTTACTACGTTTTTAAAAGTGTAAAAGATGATGTTAGATGCATTGTTCGTTCCCCTATTCGTGGCAGGCATCAGAAGAAAACTATCTCCGAGGGAAAAAAACAAAAAGTACGAGAACATATTACCTATTTTCAAAGAGTCGACTCTCACTATTGTCGACAGAGTTCTACCAGACAATATTTGGAAAGAAATTTAAATTTACAAAAAATGTATGATCTATACAAAACTCAAGAATCAGAACCAGTCAAATATCATATGTATCTGTGTATTCTTTTGTCCCAAGAAAGATATATGTGATAAGTGTGCAGCATAAAATTCTCTTACTAATCCGACTGAAGCAGATATTTTAAAATTTGAAACTCACAAGAAAAATAAAGATTTGGTACATCAGGAAAAAAACCGAGACAAATTTATATCCTCCGAGGGCAAATGTGTTGGTGTTTTATGTTTTGATCTGCAAAAAGTTTTTTCGCTACCAAAATCTAACGTAAGCAATTTTTATTATAATACAAAATTTTCTTGTTATAATTTAACTGCTCATTTCGACAAAACTAAGATCGTATATAATGCCTTATGGCATGAAATGATTTCTGGTAGAAGCGGACTTCATATTTCTTGTGCTTTGATTAAAATACTTAAAAATGTAGTACTAGATAATCCTGCACTTGAAAAATTAATTTTATGGTCAGACAGCTGTGTACCTCAAAATAAAAATTCAATAATGACATTTGCTTTGCAACATTTTTTGCAAACCAATTCTTCAGGTCAGATAAAAATAATAGAACAGAAATTTGGTGAACCGGGTCACAGCTGTGTACAAGAAGTCGATGCAGCTCATAGTTGTATAGAAAGATTTGTAAAAAATGTAGATATTTGGAGCCCCGTAAGTTTGTTAAAAATTTTAACGAAGATTCCAAACTCGTGGAAAATGAAATTTAAATTTTTTCAAATGATCACTGCAGATTATAAAAATTACCAAGCAGAATCAGAAAAATTATCCTATCGAAACGTACCTTACACTAAAGTGAAACATCTGATATACGAAAAAGAATTTTCTTTAATCATAAAATCTGGTGAACTATATGAAGGGCCACTTAAGGAAATTAAACTGGAAAACGTTAAAAAAACGCGATGTCAAATACATAATAATTTACCAGAAGTGCTGCAACTCGTTAATTTAACACCAAAATTACCTGAATTAAAGAAAAAGCATCTCAAAGAGATGATACCGTTCATGCCGGAAGTTGATAAAGAGTTTTACAATGTTGTTTTGAAGCACAATTCAAGTATCATGTGCAACAAAGAAAAACAAAAGAAATAGACAAATAAGGAAAGTAGCGAGAAATAGAAGATTATTGTTTTTTTAGTACACCTAATAATTGTATTTTTGTTTAAGTTACGGTCATATATTTAATAAATTTTGGTTTTTATTTGATAATTTGTCGTTACCACCAATAAAACATTTTAAGAATTAGTTAGTTCTATATCCACTATACATGTTCTATATCAAAAATATGTCAGTTAAATGTCCCTTTTGTTCTATATCCAAATAAATTTTTCCGTATTACATGTTAATGTTGTTTTAATTGGCAATAATAAAGCACTATAACAAAAAGTAATTTAATATGAAAACAGTGATCATGATCTGTAAAACAATTTTTCAATAATATCAAAAATATTTTACATTAAATTTAAAAACGCTCTCCTGTAAAATTGAGTTTTAGGAGATGGAACAGTATAATTCTCAGGCGACGATATAATGATCCTTAATTTACCTAACTTTATAACAGCCGTGAAACAGTTGCTTCAATACAGTACAGATAATAACTTACTAAGTAAGAAATATACCCTAACATTTACATCGTCATTAGAATATTACTAACAATACCAATTAGTACAGCCTCCACTAAAAGGAGCTTCTGAAAATTAAAACCTGTTAAGAATTATTTAAGGAGTACGAGGTTACAGGAAAGACTTTCTGCGGTCG